TCCCCCCCCCCCCCTAAAAAAAAATTACGTTGAGGCAAGCCAAATTTTCCTTCATGGACCGGAAAAAAAACCGGCGTCTGTATTGTGGAGGTTAGGCACTTCGCTGTCACACACATGAGAGACCCGAGTTCGATTCCCAAGAGGGAAGGAAAATTGTATCGTGTATCTCGGTCTTTCGGCTGGGAAGTTATATCCCTCTCAGTCCGGGTGGGTGGTGACAGTAAAAGACAGAAGCCTGCTTCCTAAATAATCTTCAGTATGTCGATAGGGGCCCAAAGCACCTTAATTAGGCTTAGGCTACAACAATGGTGAATTGGTATAGGTTTAAGGCCCCTATCAAGACCATTAGATTATTTAAGAGGTAGGACCTCAAAGTTTTACGTCCATCTCCGAAAGGAACGAGCCAAATGGGAAATTCGTGTAAAGTACCTTTCCCAAAGACACAACTACAGACTGGGCTGAGGCCCGAACCCCGAACCCGCAATCTCACGATTACAAGTCCGGTAGCTTAAGCAGTAGGCCACCGACGACACCAGGCATAGGTTAGGAGCTACAAAACCTTTCAGATTTCTTACAAATCGTAAGCCAAATCCCTGTTATGTTGCAGCAAGTTCAGTTTGAAATACGTTGGCAAATTGCATAAGAAAGATAAGTTTCATGCTACAAACATGTATCACCCACCAACAATTCTAAGACAAGATGGAGATTTGATATATTATTATGAGGATATATTTTCATTACATGCAAGCATATATCTTTATGACAAATGATGGGGGAAAAAAGAAAAATGATACCAAATAAATTAGCATGTAGCATGTAGAAGTCAGTTTATTACAGTAATCGTTTTGTGGCACTTGCAATACAAAGTAGATTAAGTTGTATAAATGAAGAAAATTAGAGGTATTACAAGAGAGTAACAAAAACAAACAAACAAACAAAAATAGGAGAAAGAAAGGTAAATCGATAAGAGCATGCTTCGGCAGCCACCCGGGCAACATTCAAAATTTCCTATCAACAGAAAAAAGTTTGGTGTGTCCCGCACATGTTTTACTGAAAAGAAGCTGCATACCACACCAGAGCACTCTGCCAACCACTCACGCATTTGGACTGTAGATTTACCGACTTCAAAGGGTTAAAAACAAACCCATTTCATTTTGAAAGTCACAGTCGACTTCGTTTGAGTTGTGCCTACAATGTCAGCTTTTGCCCTAGCCATGAAGGAAAAGTCAGGCTCGCCCCGCCTCAATTACAAAAATTTTTTTTTTTTTGGTAATTGTTTTACGGCGCTCGCAACTGCATAAGATCATATGAGCACGCGGGACACACCTAATACTTTTAGTTGGTAGGAAGATTTTGAATTTTGCCCGGGTGGCGGCCGAAGCCTACTCTTATCGATTTTAGACCACCAAAGGATCTTTAACGTGCGCAACCTGCACACGGGTCCTCCTAGATTTTTCGCCCTTGTCCGAAAAGGCTAGCTGTAGATTTTTCCTACCGGAAGATCAGGGGTGTGGCAGAAAGACAGCTGTAAGAAGGATTCAAGGAGTAGCAGTAGAAAGGCTGCAGAAAGAGTCAGGAGCCCAGAGT